GTGGTCCTGATGGGGCTACAGTACTACAAGTCAGCTACAGGTCAGCAGGACTTGGCCAAAATTAAACAAATCCATGGCCAGCTTTATTTTGCCAAGGTGCGGATGATCAAACAATTGCCATGTTTTAATAAAAAATAAAACAAAAAAACTTTTACATTCAACCCCCCCCCCCTTCTGCATGATGAGGGTTGCAGATTTAAAGATGTCAGAAAGGACTTTTGAAAAGTTATGGTTCAGGAACCTCCTGTTATAGAGAGACACTTTGTCCCCGTCTCCCATACTTCCAATGGAAAATACAAGTGGCTGTTTGAACATACATAAAGGCAGTAATGGTCCACTGTTGTCACCCTAAGGAAATGGCATGCAGCCATCGCATGTAGACAGAAGGCTACAGGAGTTCAACAGCAGTAAGATGCAAAAATTAATGTGGGGGGGGGGGGACACACTAAATGGCATTCAGTACTTATTTGTGGTGCTGTAACATACACTGTGTTAAGGAAGCCCATTCAAAATGCACCCCAACATTCCTAAAATGGCGCATGACTTGTGTCTAAGAACGCATGACAGTGCACCACAACAGGTGTACAATTCGAACAAGAATGGCACAGCAAGCAGAAACGCATGATGTGTTAGTACAACGCGCAAAAGTGTATCCAGCCTTAGGAGTTCACATCTACTTTGAACTTTGTTAGACCTTTACATGACAAGCTTGTACGCAGCTCAAGTTTAAGCTGTTCCTGTTTTCATCCAACTTTCCTTCCTTTCTGAAAACAGGCTCTGTAAGGGCGAGGTCAGGCCGGTGATTCTCGGCTCGGAGATTTTGCGAATTTAAATAGAATGCTTTCCTCCATGGCGTTCAATGAATTTGATAAGTTGCAGTATATTGAATGTTTGCAAGCAGAAGTATATTGTTTATAAACATTGTATCCTTTCCAATGAATCCTAAATGCATGTATCTAGGGAACGCATCATTGGAGGATGTGCACACCACCGTGTAGTAGAACTGAAACCAAAATCCTTTTTTTTTTTTAGCTTTGAAAAGGGTAAGGGAGGGTTATTATGCAAATATTCTTATTATTCAGGATTTATATAGTGCCAACATGTTTGTGCAGCACTTTACAATAGGAGGAAGAAATTGCAGTCACAGTACAATTAAAAACAAGGTGGTTAGAAAGGCCTTGCCTATGAGAGCTTACAATCTAAAATAATGCCCGCTTTATTAGCTGTGCCCATTGGGGAGATTTCCCTTCACTTCCTGTCCAACAGCCACAACAGGAAATACCTCCACTGACTACCAGGGATAGGTATATCCCTGGTAGTCAGCAGGGGAACCTGAACTACTGTCCCCATTGGAATATTTTCCATCTATTCCTGTTCTGATGATAAACTAAACGTTGGGATTGTCTTTCACTTTCAGTGAGAACGGTCACCAGGACAAATAGAGAGGGCCAATCTCCCTAATGAGGACACAGACGTCATTCAAAATGTTGTTTGGTTTTAACATTCGATTTGGAAATGCGCATTAGTCTCGCTTTTTTACCACGAATCGCGCGACAACCACGCATATTCGATACGCCCAGGTGTGAACCCAGCCTTAGTGTTAGACAATCATGATCAGGTTTTGTCATGGGACCAGCTGGCTTTCCTTTTATTTGCATTTTCGGAAAGTTCAGTAGGAAAGCAGAGTGTACAGAACATATAGCTACATTCACATATAAATAACTTCAACTCCCCCCTATTCTTCCCCTAGCCCCTCTTGAACCTGTAATGTGGGGTTCTCACCAGAAAACACTCACCTGCCCAGCAAATATAACATTGTCTTGCTTGTGATTCACTGCCTGGGTCCCACACCACTATCTTCTTCTGTGATGTCAGCAGAAGCTGGTCTTCAATTCTGGGTTCTACAGCTGGCCCCCCAATGATGCATGCCCAGGACCACCCCTGATACGCAGCCAGACCATGGCGAGTCCCTAATCCTGCAATCTCCTAGCCAGTGATTTTCCCCCTCTGCGGTTTTATATTGTGGAGGGGAGGATTGCAGGGAGCTAAAGTAGACCTGGGCAGTGAAGGGCCACTCTAGGGCCTGGTTTACTCCTAGGTGATTTTGAGCAGCAGGAAAAGCTTTTCAAAACACCCAACACAAGAAATACCTTGATTTTCAATGGCACTGTTCTGACCTGAGCAGCAAAACACCAAATGCTGAAAAGGTACAGGAGCTTCAAGCTAAATTCCCCCCCCTCCCCCCCAT